CCCCAGCACTCCCAGGCTCACCTTGTGTGGCCCCAGCTCCATGGCCATGGCTTTGGTCAGCATGGTCATTGCACCCTTGGTGGAGCCTGGGGGGGGGGGCCGCACTGAGGTCCCTTTAGGGATTCACCCTTCTTTTCAGGGAGGCCCAGCCCCAGAGCCCAGTGGGGGTGGGGATATGGGCTGGGTAGAGGGACTCACTGTAGACAGCTAGGTTGGGCAAGGTGGCATAGGCCAGTGCGCTGGAGACATTGACGATGGAGCCAGGTACTCCGCGGTCGATCATGCCTTGGGCCACCATCTAGAAGCCAAAAGAAGGGCCAGTTTGACCCCAACTCACCCTTACCTGGGCCTTGTCAGCTGTGGGGCCACGTCCCTCCACTGGCTCACCCGAGACACCTGGAACACAGAGCGCACGTTCACGCTGAAGGACCTGGGGGAGAGCAGACAGTCAGACGGACCCTGGCAGGTCTGCCCCACCTCTGCAGCAGCCCCTCCCCATTCCACCCGCTCTCCTGCGTCCCACCTGTTGAAGGTCTCCTTGGTGGTCTCCAGGAAGGGCTGCTGCAGCGCCACAGCAGCGTTGTTCACCAGCAGGTCCATGGGGCCCAGGCCGCTCAGGGCCCGCTCCGTGGCCTCCCAGTCACTCAGGTCCACGCACACGGGCTTTATCCCGGGGCACTGTGTGTACGGAAGGGGGGGCACAGTCATGGGGGGGCCAGGGGTCCCATAGGAGCCCCCTTCTTGGGGCTCAGAATCCCAGGCTGTGAGGCAGAGGGGAGGGGGGTGACGTGGCCTCTGGGCCACTGGGCAACTCAGAGCTTGGGGACCAGGAGCCTCCGGACCTTGCACTTCCTCCCCGCCTCCGCAAGGCAGCCATTTCTGCTTCCCGCCGTGCTGGGGGAGGGGAGGGGGGTCGCGGTTCTCTAGGCCACTCGGGAGCCCACGGAGTCCGCGCGCCCCGGGAGGGCTGCTGAGGGTCCTCGGTCAGCCCGGGCCCGGCGCCCGCGCAGCCCGCCCACCCTCGGCCCCGCCC